TTGGAACACATAAACACTTTTGAAAACTTTAATAAACATTTCATATTTGGTGTTTTCTTCTTTCTCTAAATGAAATTATTGTAGTATTTAAAAGTATCACTGCATAAACATGTTTATTTTTTATCTTCTAGATTCGAAAATCTATTTCTTCACTACATTAACATTGCATGGCTCATATCAATCACAACATTCGTATACCACATACTAATGGTTTATCACAAGATGCCCAAGGTTATTGGTGGGAAATGTTATCACCAACACAAATACTTATTGAGCAACAAGAAAATCTGAATAATCATAACAATAAGGAGCAACAACAAACGAAAAAGAAGAAACGTCGTGGTAATCGAAAAGCACAGCATTTAAGAAGAAGAGAACGTCGCCAAGTACAAAAACAGAGTAACAATAAAAATAATATGGCAGAGAGTGTCATTATTGTAGTCGATGATAATGACGGCAATGTGGAAGGAGAACAACAAACACAAATTCAAGTATGCTTATCATTCACATGAGAAAAATAATAATTTTCGATCTCTATTTCTATTGATTCTATTTAGACCTATTCATTAAACAAGCACCTTGAAACAAGATCAGAAAATAAACGTAAACGTCAAGAACTAAATCGAGATAATATAGACGTGAGTCGATCATTCAGTCAATTATCAATATCACAAGAAAACAAGCCAAAACGGAATAAGAGAACAACAACAACTAATGAAACAAATAATCAACTAGTAAAAGTAGTCAATGGTCAAAACCAAAAAGAAAATGATAATGAATTATTATCTATGAATTCTATACAGAAATTTAAACCAAATTATTTAAAAATATCCGATCAAGTATTCAAACAAATGTTATCGAATGGAATAGATAATGGTCATGAAATTATTCAATGCTTAAATACTGATGAAAAACTTCAATTTGTTCGTCAAATGACAGAAAAGACAAATACTATATATTATCTCGATTTGCAACGTCAACTCTGGCGAGACTATTACGACCATGGCATGAAAGAAAATCAATGGACACCACGAGTATCAAAATCTTTTGCTAAACAACATCATACTTGTCGTACTTATGGTTTCGCCAAACGTCAAGTTGAAAAACGTCTACAAACAATTACAAGACATTTTCACGATAGTTTATTTGAATTGCAACAATCTATAACACAGTTAGAAAACAATGTTCAACAATGGCAACCATACATTGATCCGGTTATTTTATGCAATGCTATAAATACATGTGTTCAAAGTGCTCAACAACGATTAAGACAACAAGTCGATTATAAAAGAAAAATGTTAACATTATATTCATATGATCGTAATTTAATTACCAAATTCTATGACTTTAAACCAAATGACGAACAGGTTTTATTTAAATAGCATATCGTACAGATCTGTATATCTATGTGTTTGAAATTTAGGTACCATTGGCGAAACAAATATGGCAGACAACAGCGAATATATTAAAAACACAAGAACAAGAAGAAATCCTTCGTAAACGAATTTTCTTACGACGATTACCAAGTGTCTATGATAAAATAATTAATCAATCTCTCGATCATGTGAAACCAATGCTTTCAAACAAAATTCTCGATAAAGATCGACGGGCTAGTTTAGTATTCAATTATTCGAAAACAATTACTCAATATAAATTTGATTTCATGACTTTAACTCTGGATACTATTCAAAACGTAATACGTGGTCATCAACAACGACTTGTCAAACTACAGAATAAATTGCCACAATGTTGCAATCAAATGCTAATTGAAGCAATTGAAAATCGTCGACAAGCAATGGAAAAACGTCATGAACTCTATCTTAAACATAAATTACATTCTTTTTTCGACGAAGCTCCGACGGCGGTATCAAACGAATGAATAAACAGGTTCGTCGTCGTCGGAGCAATATTTTTATATACAGTACAATTACCGCTTCATCACCCTTCATTGAAGTTAATTTAAACTTAACACCAGCACAAATGTCAATGCTTATGAATGGTTTCAAATATATTATACCATGTCAAAGTCGATTATGTTCTCGTCAATCTATCAATGAAATTATCCATGAACAATATCAAAAAATAGCTTCAACTGTAAAAGATTGTCTAAATGATCATCGAATACCAATTGCGGGCGCACGAACAATTCAAATATTTTCAGAATTAGAACGTACATTACATCAATTGCAATCACAAAAATTATCAAAAGTATTAGGAAAACGTGCTCAATATGAATATAAAATCGTTCGAAGTATCCAACGTCTTATACATCGACGAAAAGATATTGTTGTACGTCGAACAGATAAAAACAAAGTATTCTATATTGGTAAAGCAATAGATTTTGAACGTAAAGCTGAAGAATATATGTTAAAAACTGATGCTTATCAAGAAATTCCTGATGGTCATTGTCCTCTTGCCGATAATTTACATGCTGTAAAAACGTTACTTGATTATCTACTAGGAAAACATGCTCTAACGAAAAACCAATATAATCAATTGTCTCCAAATTTAAAAAATTTAGAACTTGGTCATTGTAACGATAAATAGAAGAAGATGATGTAATGACAGACTGGAGGAGTAGCTTACCGCCACCCTCGATAATGATGTTTATTAGCTACTTCACATCTCCAGAATGTGTCTATTGCACATTCAACACACACTTATATATGATACAGAAACAATGGGAGAGAGACGACACAGAGAGAACAATAGAGAGAGAAAGAGGAAAGAGGAAAGAAGAAGAGCAGCGAGCCGTGACGCATATATCGGCACAGTCATTATCATGGTCTACCTAAACCACATAAAGTAAATGTATTTTAATAATATATATATATATGAATACTATAGTATATATATTTCTTTTTGTTTTCCGTTTCCATTAGCCTCAAACACCATTACGACCTATCATTGCATCTATACGTGCACCAGCAACATTGGTATCGCAATTTTTAAATGATCTTTTAGCACCCATATATTTAGATGTTACTCGTAAATATACATTTATTAATGACATTGATGTCAACCGAACATTAGAAAAATATGCTGCAAATGGTTATCTTACATCAACAACCAAATTTGTTACTTCTGATGTTGAAAATCTTTATACAATGATACCAAGAAAAGGTGCATTAGAAGCATTAGGTCGATTTTGCATTAGACATTCGAAGCAAGGTAAAATTGGAACCTTTGCAATTGATCATATTATGAAAATGGCTCGTGTCATTTTGGATACGAATTGTTTTGCGTACAATAAGAAATACTATAAACAAATTCGTGGTGGAGCAATGGGTTCAGCATTTACACAAGTTTTAGCTAATATTTATATGTTTGAATGGGAACAAGATCTTATTCAATATCAAGAAACACATAATGGAATTTATGGAAGGTTAATAAACATAATTTTCACATAAAGATACTTTTATTCCATTATTTATCTCTGTTTTAGATATATAGATGATATTTTTATGACAACAAATGAAACCATCGAAGAAATTAATCGTGAACTTGAAAAAGCGCAACTTAAAGATATTAATATTAAAATTACAACTATAATAAGTACATCTGTACATTTTCTCGATGTTACTATTACAAATGAGAATGGAAAACTCAGAACATCTATTTATCATAAACCAACAACTGAACCATATATTTTACCATATACATCGGATCATCCACATCATATTCATCGTAATATTCCATATGAAGCATTATTACGTGCTGCTCGTATTTGTTCACATGTCAATGATTTTAATTCAGAACGTATCCGTATTGATATGTCATTATTATTGAATAGTTATCCACCAAATTTTATTACTAAACAATTCCACCGATTCTTTCGTTTAAATAGTGCAATGCCTGTATTAACTGAATTAAATGAAGATGTTTACCACCATTTACATCAAACTCTATTACAACAACCAACACGTCGTGAGAAAAAACTTATTAACGTGATGCATGATTCAATTATAAAACCATTCGTATTACAACCAAAAATATGGAATAAAGAAATAATGTATCCATGTTATCTCTATGATGCTAGTCTCACTAGTAATTTACCAAATCAATTCTACAAATGGTGGCAAACCTATTATGCATTTCCTGGATCACCACTTGAACACATAAAAGTGATGCTTGTCGCAAACACCCATCGTACTTTAGAAAGTTTTTTCATTCACAAGAAACCTCCATGCGAACTACTAACAAAAATGGAAACAATATGAACAATCGCTATTTACACACCCTACCTACTGACGTCAATTATATTCAAATGTTCCATTGATGTCAACTACATGAAATCGTACTTATTCTCTAGATGTTTCTCCTCATAAACACTTGATACAACATATTTGTCTTATTGTAATTTTCTTTTGAAGAAATAATAAAAAGTGAAACTTTGGATAAAACAAGTTTCCTTTTCTAAAAAACAAAGCCATCTACTCTAACATATAGAATCTCATATACTTTTTCTTTCTTCTTTTGTTTCAGATTTATTATCCATTTTTTCGCTATTAAACTAAAGAATATTCTAGCCTGATTTATCTCAAATGGCTTGCCACAACAACGACACAATCGAAACCAATAACACTTCGTCATTCTCATCGGATGTCGAATTAGAAAAAGGAAGTCTCGATTGGAACACAGAATTTCCTTGGAATCATTTTATATATACACATCTATTCTAAGAACTTTCTGGGATATATTAAATTTTATCTCCTTATTTTGAATGTTAATGAGAGTCTTTGACTCCTTCTAACTTCATCTTGTGTGAGATTCTATCTTTTCCAATGCAGTTTCCATCTATTCCGAACTTACCTGATGATAACTATTTAAACAACAGTCGAAACGATCGTCGCCAGCTGCTTGACATCATCTTATATATCCACATTCACACCCACATCCACAACCTTATTGAGAGGCTTCTTTGCCTCTTATGATTTTCTATTGCTCTGAAATTATAATTAAATTTTATACAATTTATACGAATTCCAAACATACCTGATGAGTCCCATGAGCAAGGACGAAACCGGTCGTGTGAGTAGCTTGGAATTCTTCCAAAAAAAACACACCTTTATTTAAGAATAGCTACGATCATATAATCAACTATACCCCTGTCGATATTAATTTGTTATGTTGGCTGTCTCTCTTGACTTCCATATGATCGAATTAATTTCGAATTTCTAGGTGTTTATTGATTATCTATGTAGCTTACAGATTCAGAACATACCTGATGAAGACTATCTAAGCAATAGTCGAAACGCGTCGTATGATGCTTTGAATCCATTCTTTATAATCACACCCACACCCACATCCACACCCACACCCACATCCACACCCACACCCACATCCACACCCACGCCCACACCCACACCCACAACAACAGCAAATAATTTACCCAATATTAATTTACCACCAATGCGTCCATTATATTTACAACCATATGCTCCTCAACAACAGCAACCACCAACATATCATCATATTAAACCACAAATTCAACGTAAACCAATGTTATTTGGATCCAATCATCGAAAACAAAATTATTTACATAAATTTCAGACAGGTACTACTACTACTTTTAATGGATATACTAATTTTTCAAGTACACGTACAACTAATTTACCACCACCACCACCACGTCGAAATTTACCACCTCCACCTCCACCACCATCACGTACAATATACCATCGTAATCCTTATCACAATAATTATAATAATCGTTATTACCATCATCGTCGTCATTACAATAATTTTAATAATGCTCAAAATTTACCATCATTACTTGATTTACATCCATTCCATTTACCACCACCACAACACACCCGATCTTTTATTAATGCCCAACATTATCATTCCAATCACCAACAACATTTTCCACGTTCATTATCACGATCCCGTTTTCATGTTTTATCCCAATTACCATCAAAATCACGGTCCCGCTCACGTTCTTACCAACGTCCATTACCACCACCAATTAAGCCCCGTCGTATTCATCATCATCAACAACAACAACAACAATTTAATCGTCACCGATACCAACAACAACAACAACGTACTACCATACCATCATACAACAATACCAATAATAATATTAATAATAATAATTACAATGGAATTAAACGTACTTTACAAGGCATTATATTATCAGATTCTATGTGTGCAAGATTACGTACATATGCCATTAGAAAATTACCATTATATGATATT